TTCTTGGCACAGCTACTTATGTACTCCTTAAAGGTTGTGAGAAGTGATGCAGATTAGTATTCCTGTTTAAATAGTGTGCTTTGGGAAGGTAATATGGTGAACAAAACAGTTTAATGACCAGCCCAAAGCAGCTGTGAGTCTAGGGCACAGGGGCAGGAAGGTGGGCCCTGCAGGATCCGTGCGAGCCAAAGGCTTCTGCACACTCCCGCTGGAGCTTACTTGAAGGGCTCTGAGGTTGGGCAGCAGAGCTTTCAGAGTCACCTCTTCAGTGCAGAGGCCTCAGCATGTGCGTGATGCTGCAGACCCGAGGTCCACAACCGGGCAGGCTGCCTGAGCCCAAACTCGCCCACCTGGGAATCCCCCTGTGCTGAGAAACTATGTACCTCACCCAAGCTGGTCTTGGAGTACATGTGTGGAATTTGGTAGTGGGAATAGTCAGTAGGGGTCTCCTAGGCCACTTTTTGTGTCTTGCATTCCCTTTTTCATGTTGTTACGGTGTCAGGGAATATACCTATGGAAAACTGTCCTTTGACTTTGATTTTGGGATTCTGTGTTAGGTGGAAAGATGAGTATGATAGAAGCATGGGAGAAAAAGTTTCAAACAGCATGTGTGGTATTATCCCATTTTTGAAAAAGAAGTAATTGATAAAAAGTATAGGTTTAGAAAAGTCTGGGAGGAGAAACATCAAAAGGTTGTGATGATCTCTGGCTGGGGGGGATTATGTGTGATTTTCCTTATTTTTTGCACTTTTATATATTCTATTTTTTTTTTTTTAGCATTGAACATATATTATTATTATTATTTTTAAAGATTTTATTTATTTATTTGACAGAGACAGAGATAGCGAGAGCAGGAACACAAGCAGCGGGAGTGGGAGAGGGAGAGCAGGCTTCCCGCCAAGGAGGGAGCCCGATGTGGGACTCGATCCCAGGACCCTGGGATCATGACCTGAGCCGAAGGCAGACGCTTAACGACTGAGCCACCCAGGCGCCCCGAACATATATTATTTTTATAATAAGAAAAAAGAAATGAAACTTTTCACTTTGGGGAAAAGGTCTTTCCATTATTTCCGAGCCAGGCTTGCACTTCTGATTGACCGTCCGCTGGTACTGCTTCTTGTACTAGAGGTGAACAAGATAATCTCTCATGTATTTACCCCCATCTTCTGCATCTTAGTATTATATGCTTAGATACTTCATTCACCTTTTTTTCCTTCTTTTTCTTTTTTTTTTTCTCTTAATACATGTATGTAACCCAGAATGACTGACCTTAAAGACCAACACATATGAGATCCACTGTTTGCTGCCAGTACAATTCTCAAGGAGTCATTCATTTCTTAAAAATTACTGGGCAGTGAATCCAGAGACATCCCAAAACACCAAAGACGTGTTTTTGTGGCTGTTTTGGGGATTGTTTGTCATTGCCAACTGGGTTACAGCCCAACCTCTACAACTCAGAAAAAATTACTGGTAGTTTCTCTGTTCCCAAAAGAGACTCATGCAGTTTTTGAAGGCAGGGTTGTCTTTTACTCAGACTACCCGTTTGTCCCCATCCAGCTTAGCCTAGCACAGTGGTGTTATAGGGCTTTCTAAATGTCGTTTAGTTGGATTGCACTGAAACACTGACATGAAAATGAGGGCAGAATCACTTTCCTTATTTTTTTGTCAGGGTTTGCATTATATGCTGTGAAGCGTGGTGGGAGTAACAGCAAGCAAATCATTGTAGAAAAGTTAATGAGTTATAGAGAAATCTCTTACAGGGTAATAATTACCATATTAATGCCTGACATTTATTGTGTACTTACCAGGTGCCAGGCCCTGAGCTCAGTGCTTTTTATCGTTGTCTCATTTAACTGCTACCCTAAGAAAGCGGTATTATCCTGATTTTACAGGTGAGGAAATGTGAAACTGAGAGGTTAAGTAACATGTCAGAGTCATGCAGGCTATGAGGCACACCTAGAGTGGGAGTTTAGGTATGTGAAGTTCGCATTTTGCTTTCTGCCTATTCTCTGCTTCCTGCTGCCTCGCACTTCCATTGGTCCTGCTATCCCGAACCCCCCATGGCTAACTTCTGACCATCCAGGGTGCATCGAAGTTACACTGGGAGTTGCAGTACATAGTAGGTTTTGGTTGGGACAGAATTAGGAGTGAGGGGGAAATACCTCTACCTCTTTATTATTTCTCATTCTCAGTCTGATGACCCTCCAGGAAAATAAGTCGCAGTTAATCTCTGTACCAAGTTATCTTTACATATTCCTCTTGCTTCCTTGTTACCAAGCAGTGTTTCTTTACTGGTTAGAATAGGTTCACAGTGTCTGCTCCTCTCGTTGTTTCCTCCAATTGTTTCCTTCCTACTGAGGGTTGAAATTGTCAGCAAGATTGCTCAGAAGTTTGACAGGCTCACTTCTCAGAGGATGAGGCTTCTGGCAGGTGTCAGCGGGGCTGCAGTCTTCTCACTACTGTATTTGCTTCTGTGCTGTTCCCACAGTCTGTGCTAGGATGGTGTGTAGCTTTTTAGGCTGTCCAAATCATGCAGGCAAAGTAATGACATTTCGCCTTTTGTCTCTTTATTCTTCATCCGTTTGCCTCTGCCATGCTTTGGGACCTTGGGGTGTTGTTTACCGTACACATGTACACTGCAACATTTTTTTTTTTTTTTTAAGATTTTATTTATTTATTTGACAGAGACAGAGATAGCGAGAGCAGGAACACAAGCAGCGGGAAGGGGAGAGGGAGAAGCAGGCTTCCCCCCGAGGAGGGAGCCCGATGTGGGACTCGATCCCAGGACCCTGGGATCATGACCTGAGCCGAAGGCAGACGCTTAACGACTGAGCCACCCAGGCGCCCTACACTGCAACATTTTTTAGCTTTCCTGCTGCACCTGCTGTTTGGAAGAAGGGTGGCCTATCGTGATAGTTCAGTTAAGGCTGTGTAGTCAGACAGCTTGGATCTGCTGCACTTACCAGCTGAGGGGCCTCTGCTCCGTTTCTTAACTTTCCCTGCTGTGGGTTTTTTTTGTCGTTTTGTTTTTCTGTGAATAAAACAGGGAAAATAGTAGTCCTACATTATAGGCCTGCTGTGGGGAATAAATAATGCATATAATTTACTTAGCACATATTAACTGAATCAAGTGCTCATACACACTGGCCGTTATTACTCCTGTAGTTATTTTAAACAAGGCATATCTCTTTTGGTCCCCATGCCCATCTCCCCAAGTCTCATAGGATACTTACTAACTTTAGATTAGGTTGTTGTACTTGGCCTTTGTTGTTGTTGTTGTTAGTGTCCATGGGTTACTGAGAACATAGTCCACGTTGTGTTTTTTTGTTTGCTTTTTTTTTGCTTTTAATCTTCCATGGCTATTTAAGGTTAATCTGGGCATCTTTTTAAACTCAAAAGTCAGTTGGGCACCTACTTTGTACCATGCGTGCATGCAGGCCTAAAATAGGGATAAACAGAACAGCGCTCCTGCATTGAAGGAGCTCACAATCTAGGATGATGGGGGCTGGGTGGGGAGGACAGAAGCAGGAGCCCATGTACAAAGTGTGCTACTGTGTGAGGAGCACTCTAGTAATGGTAGAAATAAAGTCCTGTGGGCACAGATGAGAATAGTTAGGTTAGTTTTCAGCAGGGGCAACAGCATGAACGAAGGTCCAGAAACATGAAAGTATATGGATCAGTGAAAGATAAAACATGAAAAAAGGGGTTGGGGCTGGATCATAAAAGGCCTTGAAAGCTTACAGAGGACTTCGACAGTGGGGAGCCACATGTTTTAAAATGGATGTATCAGAACTGTGCTTTAGAAAGAATGGAAAGACCTGTGAAGGGCTAGAAGGGGGGAAGCCTGCAGGCAGTTAGGAAGCAGCTGAAGGAGCCTAGAAAGGTTAGCAGAGTGGGGATTGTAGGTAACACGAGAGAATGTGGTCTTCCTGTTTTGTTCACTGTGCAACAGTTATGTGCCAGATCCCGTTATGGGCTCCGGGTAAGGGATACAGAGTAGAAGAAGAACACGTAACTCCTGCCCAGGGTGCGCTGGGGACCGAGTAGGTGCTGGTGGTAAGAGAAAAGGCCATTACGAGAGAATTCTGAAGCTGCTTGGGCAGCTGTGTGGATATTTTGTTTCTGAGACTAAGGAACGTGAATGTGGGAGCCGATTTGAGAAGAGGATAGATCAGGAGTAATTTTGAACATAGTTTAATCATAGATTTTCTAGCTTATATTTGATATTAATGAGTGGAGCTCAGAAGAGAAGTCAAGATAAGAGTGACTTTTTTTTTTTTCTTCTGCCAAACACTTTGGAAGCACATTTTGTGAGAGAACATAACAAATGTTGTCAGGATTCCGGCTTTCTGTTGTGGAAAACCATATTACGGGAAAGATTTCCAGTTGCTTACCTGTTTTACAAGGTAGCAGGGATTTGTATTAATCAGGTGTGGCAAGATGATAGACATGAAGACAACTGTCTTGAAAGAAGAATTTATTATTATAGTTTTCAAGAGGAGTTCTCATGCCACCACATGGAGCACCAGGGTAGGCCAGAAGGCAGAAGGAATGAGGGGAAAATGTTCAACAGAGCTTTTATTGTGGTTTTTGTGGGACAGAATAATTTTTACCAGGCTTTGGGCAATAGGGGTGGTCCCTAGTTGTCAGGTACCTGGGGATTTTGGGCAGAGGAATAGTGTTCTGGACTGCAGGAGCCTGATAAAAGGAGGCTAATGGTGGGTGTGGAATCAGGATTGGTTGGTTTGTGTATTAAAGACATGTTCATGGGCAAGTATTTACTATTTCTAGGAATTAGGTAATGTTGGGAAGGGGTTTAGTTCTTCCCAGGGTCTGCCAGGCCCCAAGATGTCAAGCATCAAAAAATACGGAAACATGATTAATTCACTACCCAATATCCATTTTCCTTTCCACTGAACCCATTAATTTACAGAGTCCATATTTAATTAGGGGTGACAGTGTGCACAGCTGAAATACTGCATTTCTATTCTCCTTTGCAGTTAACATTGGCTAAGGGGGTGTAAGCAGAAGTCATTTGGTGGTGCTTCCAGGAAAGCTCCTTAAATGATTAACTCTGTTGGGAGGCTCATCCTTTGTGCTTCTCCAGACCCTCACCTGGCTTTTTCTTGTCTGAAATGTGGACATGATGGCTGAATCTCCAGCAGCCATCTTGGACCATGAGATGATCTTCAGGATGGAAGACAGAAGAAGCTGGGATCTGCGATGACCATGTGGAACCACCATACCAGTCCTGGACGGTGTATCTCTGGATTTCTTTGGGAGACACAAATAAATCTCTACCTTGTTTAAACCACTTATTTGTGCTTTGCAGTTAAACCTCATTCTTACTAATTCACACATTCTTTATCTCCATATACACAGTGAATTCATTACTCTAATTCTTTCTCTTCTAAGACCTTCCACTGCTAGCAGAAGTAAAATCTTACCTCTATTGTCACAGTCCTTCAGAATTGTAACCTATGTCTCATTCTAAATTTGGGGAGGGACTGGGACATACAATGTGCATAAAACCTTAGCAGTTAGCCTTAAAAAGAGTAAATGTAAGTATATAAATAATAGTTTTTCATTAAATAAATATTACTTAATTTTCCTTGAAGCCTCTAATGAGGACCCTTAATTAGCAGTCCCTTGTTAAATAAAGTAGTGCTTAAGAACAGAAGTAGCACCCTTATGCTTCTCCTGGTAGTATAGCGCACTACATAATCTGGAGTGAGGAGGTGTCCCACTGCAAAATAACCAGATGCTAAGTATGACATAGTTTTTATCATATCCTTGGGTATCTTAGTTTGGGCTTAACAAAATACCAGAGACTGGGTGATTTAAACAGCAGACATTTTGTTGCAATTCTGGAGGCTAGAAGTCCAAGATCAGGGTGCCAGCATGGTTGGTCTCTTGTGAGGTCTGTGTTCCTGGCTTGTAAGCGGCCACCATCTCGCTGTGTGTTCACATGACCTATTTTTGCTGGCAGAGAGCGAGTGAGCTCTTGGTGTCTCTTATAAGGACTCTAATCCTGTTGTGTCAGGGCCCCACCCTTATGACCTCATTTCACTTAATTGTCCTAAAGGTCCTATCTCAAAATACAGTCACATTGGGGATTTAGGGTTTCTATATGTGAATTTTGAGTGGACACAGTTCAATCTGTAGCATTGGGCTTGTAGGAAGAAAGGGACTTCCCCAAGTGATAAGTTCTAAACTAAGCTGAAACCAGAGCAGTAAGTAGGAAACACACTGAAGAAAGGGAGTTCCCTGATGACATGCTAATCTTGACATTGTGGTTTGCACATAAAAACAAAGGGTATGTGTCAAAGGATGTGGCTCAAACAGTCTTGGAATTAGAAGAGCATTTCTCTTCAACAGGAAAGGATGTCTTATCACTACTTCTCTTTGACAACTTACTTGCACTGAGGCTTTAGCAAGCATAGTTGGGAAGGAAAGAAAAAGAATTATTAAGATGGAAAGGAAGAAAGTTACACATGCTGTGATTACATAGAAACCAGAAAAGAATCTGTAGATGAATAATTAAAAGTTGCTGGAAATAAGGTCAGTATACAAAAGTCAATTGCAAACAACAGCAAAGATGCCGTATACAAGAGTGTCAGAAAATGAAAGGAGTCTTCCAAGTGCGTGGTCTCTATGGAGAACATAAAACCTTATTGAAATACATTAAAAGACTGAATGTATTGGTAAACCATCTCCCCAAATTGGTATTACAGATCAAATAAAAATTCCCAGAAGTTTTTTTGGGCAACTGGACAAGTTGATTCTAAAAATGCGTTGGTAAGCAAAGGTCTAAGATCAGACGACAACTCCTAAAGAGGAGATGGGGGACTGACTTTGCCAGTTGGCAAGACTTTTTATTAAAGCTATAGTGATAACAGAACTGTACTATGGATGCAGGAATAAACAGAACAATGGTATAGAATAGAGAACCCAGAAGCAAACCATGTATAGGTGGATATGATAAACGATGAAAGTGGCATAGATCAGTGGGTATAGATTTTTTCAATGAAGTATGCTAGGGAGATTTGTTATTCATACAGAAAAAAAATGAAATCAGATCTCTACCTTACAACTTATGCCAAGATCAGTTCTTGGTTATTTAAAGACTTGTGAAAGGCAAAACGTTAAAAATTTTGGAAGAAAATATGAGTGTCTGTATGATCTGGTGGCATGGAAGTTTCTTTTTAAAACAAATGTAAAGATAGAAAGGAGGGATACATTTAACTGTTAGAAATAACCTTTGTTTATCGAAAGTCACCATAAAGAAAGCAAAATGACAAGTCACAAACTGGGAGAGAAGATATTTGCAATAGTATAACTGAAATACAGTCTAGAATATATAAAGGATTACAAAGCAATAAAAATACAATCTAGAATATCTGAAGGCCTACAAAGCAAAAAGGAAACAACAGCTTAGTAGAAAAATGGGCAAAGACATAGAGGCTGTGAAATACAAATAATCCATTGATCTATGAAAAAGTGGTTGACTTCATTAATAATAAGGAAATGCAAACCAGAAACTGCAATGAGATTTCATTTTAAGCCCTCCACACTAGCAAATTTCAACACATTTGATAGAACAAAGTGTGAAGGAGGATGTTGTATACCAGTGGAAACTTACGCACTGGTGGGGAGAGTGTAAATTGGCACCTCCTTTTGAGAAAATGTTTTGGCATTAACCAGTGATGTTGAAATTTCATCTAGTTATTCCATCTTTAAGGTACAGCCAATAGGAAGCTCTTGCCCATATGGCCTAAGAAACAGGTCCAAGAGTGTTCTTAGCAATGATGTAATAATAGTACAACCAAGAACCCAAAGGAAACTACCCAAAGGTTCATCAACAGAGAATGGGTAAATAAATGTTCACACCGTGGCATACAGATGTGTAAATGGATTACAACTATTCCAGAAACAATAATTCTTAGAAACATAATATTGAGTCAGTATCAGTTAAAAAATGAATCTGAAACTTGAGCTAAAAACAAAAATCAAGCTTCCTTTAGAAAATTTGTTTATTCGGGGCATCTGGGTAGCTCAGTCCACTAAGTGTCTCTTGATTTTGGCTCAGGTCTTGATCTCTGGGTTGTGAGATGGAGCCCCACCTTGTCTTGGGCTCCACACTCAGCTGGGAGTCTGCTTGAGATTCTCTCTCCCTCTGCCCTCCCCCCCCCATGTGCGTATTCTCTCAAATCTTTTTTAAAAAAGGAAATTTGTTTATTCAGTATGTATTTATTGAGGTTCTGTTACGTGCTAAGGTCTGAGCCTAGGGCCTGAGTGTTTAGTGAGTAAAACACCGAAAAGGGGCATTATTAATAATTACTTGGCATGACAGGCTGAGCAGGGAGACTGATGTGGGGCTTGATCCCAGGACCCTGGGATCATGACCTGAGCCGAAGGCAGACGCTTAACTGACTGAGCCACCCAGGTGCCCCTGATCATTCTTTTAGTAGGAAATTTATATTGCAATGAGAAAAGTTGTCTGAAAATAACCCCAGTTCAAACTAGGTTGTCCGGAGAATAAACTAGCTGGGAAAAGAGGGTTTCTTTCACTTCTCCCACCAGTAAGTGCTTACATAAGCTCAGTTACCACAGAACTGTTGACTCTAATACCAGTGTGAACTATATAACATCCTGTGGGTTCCAAGGTCCCCAGGTATTGGTCATCTGGTCTTCTCAGGTAACTCCTATAATAATTCAGATTTTCTGGCACCTAAGACTGTTTTAGTACTGACGAAGTTGCTTTCACAAGTGAGAGCACTAGGGAGGGTGAGGCACTTCCATTGGCATGCAGAAGTGCACTGCTCACCGAACAGTGCTCTGGTTAACCTGTGTGTGGATGAAGGAGGATGAAGGGGAGCCATGCTTTTATTTCTGTTGTTGATATGAGTTTTCTCTTACTCCAATAAAGCCTGTTCTTAACTCAGATCATGTGATATAAAATTTATCTTGAATCCTGGTGCATGCAAGAGGACATGCAGAAGAGATTCTTAGTATATAGTATAAGGAGTTTACATTTTGTAGTTGCACTGCAAGGCCATTGAAGTGTTTTAAGTACTGGAGTGATATGATCTAATATACATTTTAAGGTCATTCTTGTGGCTATATGGAGAATCTGTTACAGAAAAAAAAAGATTAGAAGTAGAGAATGAGTTAGGGGGCCACTGAGTAGTTCAGATGAGAGATCATGGTAACTTGGACCAGGATGAAGGCAGTGAAAATGGAAAGTTCAGGATATGTTTTGTGATTAAAATGGAGAAGTCATTGATAAGTTGATGTGGGGTTATAGGAAAGAATCAAGTTAATTCTTAGGTGGTGCTTGATTTGAGCAACTGGATGGATGATGTTGCCATTTGCTGAAATAGGGAAGATTGGGGGTAAGAGAGAGTTCTTTTAAAATGAGAATAAATTGAGAGTTTTATTTTGGACATGTTAAATTTGGGATGTCCGTGATAGAGCCAAGTAAAGAAGTTAGGTAGGTAGGTGGATATGGGAGTATAGAGCTCAGAAGAGTGGTATGGCATGAAGGTGTGCATTTTGGACTTACCAACATAGGATGATTTAAAATAATGAAAATAATATGTATTAAAAACTTACTGAGGGCACCTGGGTGGCTCAGTCATTAAGCGTCTGCCTTCGGCTCGGGTCATGATCCCAGGGTCCTGGGATCGAGCCCCACATCGGGCTCCCTGCTCAG